ATTCAGCTCAAAATTCATCAATGGATTAGTCCATTGATGAACTTAAAGCCCTCATGATCCAATCACCTCTCAATAATATCACCAGCTAGAGACCAAGCATGTGACACATGAGTTTTGGGGGACATTTTATACCTAAACCATAACTATTAGTAAATGAACCACAAAGGAAGAAAAAAAAAAGGAAAGAATCCTAGAAACCAGGTAGTGCTAGAGTGTCAGATGCTGCAGAAAGGATGAGTAGTGACTGAAAAGTTCTCCATCAAGAATTGTCTTTAGGACATCATTAGAATAGTTTCTGTGGAGTGATGGGAGGAAAAGCCAAGTCACAGTGTGGTGTGGGTGGGGGGAAGATGGTAGGTGGAAGGGGGAGCGGAACATCATTGTCTATAAACCTAATACTAATCACAGTCTGAAGGAAAGACTTCAGGCCATCAATAATTTGTGCAACATTCTTGATTTGTAATTCAATTCAATCTTTTCACATTTTTAAAGAGCTAAACCTGCCTAAAGCAACTGTATATAAATAAATAAAATGTAAGTATTGTAGCAGGGTTGGAGGTAGTGATAGATTTGCCCACAAAGATGAAGTGCATAGGATTTTTCTACCCTGTAAACCTTTCTGAGTTAACACAGGTAACATGATTGTCCCAGCAGCATGTATTTAGGAGACATCAGCATAATTTTTCTACCCAGTGGTATCCCTAATTAAGAGCATCTTGAAGCATTCCCCAGATTTGTGGTGTTTACTGGGCCTTGGAACTCAAATGTGTTTCATTTATTGCCTTGAGACATATGTTCCAGCTCGTGTGGAATCATTTAAGTGCTTAGTAATTCTCCCCTTCTTCTGTTGACATCTGGACAAATCCATTCTTATTTTCAAGCACTTTGTCTCCAATTTTAGCAGTCAAAAAGGTTTTGTAAAGAGATGCTTAGCTTTCGTTTACTCATAGGAATATTAATATTATTCTTACTATGCGCATCATGATTTTCCTATCACTGAGAGGTGATTGGTTTTTGACAGCTCCCTCATTCTGACCTTGCTATGTGACCAGCACTGTCCCTCCACAAGGAGTGAACATTTCTCACTACAGATTTGTCTAGAGTATAACCATAATTCAAGAAGAAACTCCTACCCTCACATAAATCCATTATGCTGAAGTGGCAGTGTTTATTCTGTTTATTATTGTACACTCTGGGCTTACTGTGAGCTATTTTAGACATGCAATAGTATACATTGAATAAGAGAACAAATGGACATTTTAAAAAAGTGTTCACAAAATACTTGGAGCTGGAGAGGGTGATAAACAGAAAATGCAACCTGCATAAAAATAACTAGTTTCCAAAATACAGACTGTATTCTTAAAATAACTGCAGGGGGACAAATTTGTCCTGGCTTCCTCAGGGCTTTCTTTACTTTTGCACTAAACTCCCAAGTTCTGGGAAACACCACAGACCCTGGAAAACAAGGATAATTGGTCACCAGGCTAATTCCACATCTCAGGTGGAAGGTACTAATTTATTGCCTAATGAGGTTAGCTATGTTTTCACCAACATGATCTTCAAGTCAAGCCAAAAAGCTTACATTTCAGCTACCCCTTCTACATAAGGACTTCCCAACACATGTCTTTTCCTTGTTAACTGGGTAACTAAATAAACCCAGAAACCGAACCATGTCAATGTACATGGAAGAGTGGTTGTTTATGGAATGCTCAGCCTCTGAAAAGGTAAACTCTAGAGTAGGACAGGACAAACTGCTGGGCTGTGCCACAAACTGAGTGACACAATGCACATGATTATCTAATGCTCTTTCTGAACTTTCTGAAAATCCTGGTGTTGTCTAAGTTCCTGTGAATTATGGACAACAAGGAATATGGGCTTTGTAGTATGGGAAAAGTGTCTCCTACTGTCAGTTTTTAAATGGTGATTCCCAATCACCAATTTTCTTATGAATGGAATGTCCATATTCTTGTTTTAAGTTGGACAGTATCAGATATGTCTGTTACTTTTTTGCTCTCAAAGTGTCCCAGTGAAAAAAGTGTGCCCAAGTTCAGATTATAAATTATATGATTATCCCAGTTCTAAGCATTGTTGTGTGATTCCCAGAACCTAATCATTCCAGGATACACTGATAAACCAAGCTCCTGAATGTTTAAAAGGAGCAGTAAGCTAGAAATGAGAGCTCACAGCAGCATCAGACAGCTCTTGGAATTCTTCTCTGCCTCTTAAATATATGTAAGCGCAGATAAAACTTCATGGTGACAAAATACTCAAGTACGATTTCCTCTCAGATATAGATTAGCATTTCCTTCTAAAAGAACTACTTTTAGTTATGTATTGATCTATGTTTCCCTATCTTGAATATGATACACCTTTCTGATTGTTTGGCTTGGAAAGTTAATTTGTTTACTTCTTTGAGGCATTTGGGCTCTTTTCTATTCTCTTTTAAGGTGTTGATATAAATGGGCAGTGGCAAATGTGTTATTTTATAAAGTTCTAATGAAACGTGAAACTAAAGGGATCTAGAGATCAGTAGGATATTGGCAGCTAAAGAATGTTGGAGAAGGCCAAGGAGGAAGGAGGATCCTGATCTTCCTTGGTTAGGTAAGCCATTCTCTTGGCCTCAGGTACCCAACTCTGAAGAGTTGCCAGGTCCTCCCCACTCCTGGCAGTCTTTTACTACCTAGAATCTGCTCCTACACATTCTGTTCTTTATATACATTTAAATATGCTAAATTCTTCGGACTTGGATGGAGATTTACAAAGCTGCACACTCTGTCTTGATGTGATCTTTGTATCCCTGAATGTTGTACTAAGAACTTTTTTTTTTTAAATCTGTTAAGTCTGTACGTATAAAGCATATGGCTCACAGGAATAGATCAGAATGGAATTGAATGAAAGGCTTCTCTTCTCATCCATTTTCTGTTCCCACTCCCCAGATAACTATTTTTTCCCAGAAAATTTGAACACACACACAGACACACACACACACACACACACCCCATGTTTGTAGATGTCTTCCATATTCCAAATATACTCCCTGAACTTTACTGTCTTCTGAGTGCAAGCCATCAGGAAGTCACACATCAACATGTGCAAGCCACTGGGAAGTCACACATATAGCTGGATTCAGTACAGTTCTGTTACAAATGCAGACTTATAACTTATGTCTCTAAGTATGGCTGCTACTTGCCCCAATCCACCTCAATATAATGCCATAGCTATTTCCAAAAAATTACTGCTTTCCACATATCCCTGCTGAAACAGTATATTATGCTTCTTATTAACTCTTTCTAAAGTTTTTCTGGTTAACTTCCAGAGCTTTCTTTTATTGAGTGCTACTCTGTCTATCCAAACGTTTATTGATTTCATTATTAGTAAAATTATAAATCTTGCATCTGAATGCTACAGAAAGGTCACTTTTTCCTTTCCTCTGAGCAGAGGCACATTTAGTTTCATCCCCTAGACTTTTATTTATGATTTTTCTCTTGCAGATCTTTTCTCCTCTCCACATCAGGATATGTCCTTATATGTTATGTTCTGTCCTTGCATGGCACAGGTGAGGAAACTATACCAAAGAAATTAAATAACTTCTTACAAGTTTCTGTCAGAAATAAAACTAACTCTTAGCCAGAACCACTGGTATTTCCTTTAAACCACATTCCTTTAAACTAAATTCCAGAAATGGCATCACTGGCATCATCACAAGCTCTCACGAAGCACAGAGTAGATTAGATGTAGTAAATATATTAGTTTGTTGGGTTAGTTCGCTGTTTGCCATGTGCAAGGTAAAAAGGGATTGCAGTTCACTTTGGAGTGGGTAGGACACAGTACTGATCAGTCCTCAAATATAGTAGCTAAGCAAATTTGGTGACTCACTCTCTACTTTCTTTTCTGTAAATGGGGCTCATAATACTTGTCTTGCATGCTTGAGTGAAAGGGAGACTGGTTTTTCTTTTTTTTGGGGGGTCTAGATAGAATGGCCTTTCATTTTGGGATCATGATGACCCAGCTTCCATTTCTTTTCCTCCATGTTATCAAACATAAAAGTATAAAAATTAAAGATGTAAAGTGTTTGCTATAGAGTGAATGGCTAATGAGTTTAGCTTCACTTATTTGCCTGGTGACTAGCTCCCTCCAAGACTCACTTGAGCCAAGGAAATCTTTGACCCACATCTACTCTTTCCTTCATCCCATCTTGTTTCCTTCCCATTTCTGTCAAACCTGGGCTTTCTTACTCCTGCCTTGGGAATCTTCCCAAAGTACTTTCATAAACTATCCTCTCCAGGTACTTATTTCTGAGAAGATATTCATGTTTTTATTATTATAAACTCTAATACTGAACATTTATTTGAATAACTTCTCCATTTATTCTGGTTAGATACTCTGTGTACCTGGAGGCATTCAGATCTTTCTAAGTCCCTCCTCCGCTTCTATCAAGGGACCTGGTGTCTACAACTTGACATTTCTCTTTCTGGCCCATTATGCCACTTGCCAAGATTAGAGGTCTGTGGCCTGGGGCTGCACTTTGACTTTACCAGCCCAAGTACTTTTGTCATCTGGGGGCCCTTCTTCCATAAAAAATACTAAAAATTAGATTTTGCAATTATTTTGTATACAAATAAATATATGTTGGATTCATTATTATCTATGATTAATATTTTATTTATTTATTTTTTTATTTTAAAGGAATTGGTATATTTTCATAGGTCCCTGCAAACACTGTTGGCCCTAGGCACTATGCCTTCCTGGCCTAGTGGATAACTTGGTCCTGTTAGAGTCATATATTCTTGAGTCCAGTTGTGCCGTGAACTTGAAGCATGGCAAAGAGATAGAAGGGACACAGGCACTTAAAAGAAAATTAATTCTCCTTGGTCTATCTATTGTGAATGGTTTCTTATTTTAGGGGCTGGTGCCTCAATTCTACCATTTTTCCCATACCTATCTTCTGCAGAGTGAATCCTGTCAGCCCTACCCTTTTTCTGTGGATCTGTTTAAGAAGGATGGATCTGTCAGAGTTTGGAGAAGCTGCAGTCTTCCTAAGAAGAACTGATGCTGAACGGCTTCCGCTACCACCTATGGCCCTTGATGGTGAGAACTGCCATGGCTGCTGGCAACATTTTAAGTAGTAACTTCAACTAAGCAGTAAAATAACAACCAAAACTTTTGCTTGATTTAAATGAATAAACAATTTTGAAGCCTAGCTTATTTGCTTGGGGTGCAATTAGTCTCTATAAACCTCTGGCTGGGAGTTGGTGAGGAGCTCAAAGTGTTCAGGGTAGAAATGGAAGTTTGTAAGAAAGAAGAGGATGGCTGGAAGGCATCCCAGTTTCAGGACCTACTTACATGGCCTTTAGATAGGTGGTATCTTCCAAGAACCACGATTACAATTCATCAGCCCCAGGAATGGCTGTAGGTAAAACCTTCATCAGTGAATAAATACCTTAGCAGAGAGCATGCTATGACTTACACTAGAAGTAGGATTTGTATCTTGTGAGAAATAAGAAAGAAACAAATGCTGGGAATAATGGAGAAGAGAATTTTCTCTGCCTGTCTTTAGATTTTCTTACTTCTGGAAGTTGGTCATCTGGTGGTCACTAGGTCAGCTGGGTCACTTAGCCAACACTAAAGGATAGATAATTATGAGATTTGTTTTCAGTGGTTAACAATTTCTTGGTACTTACAGGCAAGGCCAAAGGTTAACAATCATTTAGCCTCAAGAAAAAGGCCAGAATCTACATTAATATCTCTAAGTAAATGTTACTCCTTGCCCCCCTTGCCTGTTTGGGCTGTGCAGCTGTTTTCTGAATGTCAGATTCAGTGTGATCTAGCACCAGGTCACTGATGTGTGTTCATTAAAAAATGTTTAATAGTGTACCATAAAACTGAATGTTGTTTTAGTACTCAGACTTTTTAGTCAACATTAGATTTTGGCCAATTTAATTCAAACCAGTCGTGTGGGACATTATATTTCCATCACAGACTAACCAGTCCTGGACCAGTTCCAGACCTTGGATTTCATTACTGTGATTGGATTTGAAAGCAACTAATTATAATCCATCAAATCAAATATAACAACAGAACAATCCCTGAGGTCATGGCGAAGCTTATCTCAGGTAGTTAGGTAACTATGGTCAAGATAATAATAGTAGTACCAAGGAGAAAATGAAAATGAGACAAAAATTGGAGAAAATCACATGATTTATTTAGTAGTTTGAACACTACAGTTACTTAAAATATGTCAGTCAACATAATTTTAATTAATTTTATAACAGACAGTCCTTTCTCATAGAAATGCCCTGGCAGCAAATATATGAAAGTCATCAGAAATTGTCATCTTCCTGGGCTAGTAGACAGTGGAGTTTGCTGTTTTGAACTCAGGCCAAATGGACACTGTGAGAATGAGTAGTTGGCTAGTAGTCTTGGGTTCATATTCGCTGTCCTTGACCGTCTCTGGCTGTGTAATTGAAGCAAAACACTGCACCTTATTGAGCCTTGCTTTACTCAGCTTTCAAGCATAGATAAAAATACTTGCCCTTGTCTACCTTCCTCCATTTCAGTAAGGACCAAATGATCTAAAAATATGAAAAATAAATATAATGTATTATAATGATACCCAGTACGAAAAGTGTTAGGAAGTCCAGATAGTTTTAAAGATAAAGGCAGAACACTTTAAAAACCAAATGTAAATGATTTTGTATTTGAAGAGGTAAATTTTTCCAGTTATTTAACATAACCAGAAAATTGTATACAATATAACTCCTATTTTGTTCAATACCATAGACAAGAGACTCAAGAAAAGATTCAGAGAGATAACACTGGCTACCTCTGAGTTGCTTATGGGTCGTTCACTAAAAAATGTTTTTCTTTATACATTCCAACTTTCCTCCAATAAGTGCATGTTCTCTTTATATTTAATCATCAAAAAATAGGGAATCATATAGGTAAAACCTCCTTACTTTACAGATCAGGAAACCGAGGCCCAACAAGATGATGTGATTGCTTTACATCTTTGTTATAGAAGGACTAGTACTAAAATCCAGGTTGCTCGATTCAAAAGCAATGCTACCTACATTTCTAGCTCTGCATTATTCATTGCCATAAGGAATTAAAAGTTGACTTATTTCATTTACTCCATCTTTAAAAAATATTATGTCATGAACTATAGGAGAGGGCTTCTGAAAAGTCTTCTCTCCCACTGTTTCAGGCGTGATGGAACACAGATCTCATCACAGGGTAGGTGGAAAACCTGTTCCTTGAGGGAAAAATTGGAGAAAGTAAAGCTAAGCACTTGCTAGAAGAAGCAGGCTATAATGGAGGAACACTAATTTAGGAGGTAGAGAATACTTTTGAACGTTTTGAATGAAGGTTTGTAGAGGGATTTTGGGATAGAGTAAAGGACCAAGACAACAGTAAAGGGCCTAGTGTTGGTATAGGTAGCTGGTTAGTAGGCACTTAATTTTCTTGTTAAAAACTCGCTTGTGGTGCTCCCAGGAATAAGACATTTCTTATTCCTATAGAATAATTGTGCTGGTGTATGTTCAGGGTAAGCACTCATGGTTTTTATGACTTTGAAACTTCCTATATAGGTGATTCCAAGTCAACAAGCAGACTTATCATATATGAGATTGTATCTATCAGTATGAAAGGCTCATTGGATATTTCTATAGTTACTATAGTTATAATTCATATTTCCTTTCTAGGGAAGAAGAAATGTTGGGTTCGTGATGGGAAGAATGCTTATATTGAAGCTGAGGTTAAAGGGAGTGAAGATGATGGAAAAATAATTGTAGAGACTAAAGATGGAAAGGTACAAGAGTACTTGCTTCATCTGGGAATATATGTGTTCTCTGTTTAATCAGTTTATTAAACATATCATTTCCCTAATATTTTTATTAAGTTCCTAAAGTAAGAGATATCACTGACACACTTTAGATATCTCAGTTATCTTAAAGGTGTCCCTCCACTTACCATCAAAGGCTGAATGAAGAACATTTAGTAAATCAAAATAAAATGATTACAGTGGCAAATATCATTGATCCTAGAACTCACAGCCATTTTCATTTCTTTCATCAGTTTAGAGTTTTTATTTTGAAGGTGACCCTTGTAGTATATAATGATTTACAGAGCCATGAAGCAAGCCATCTCCATCTCTAAGACCAAGAAAGAGATATATAATTTTAATAAAATACCATTGTATCTAGAGATGGTATTGTGTCCAGTCATATCAAATGCTAGAGAAAGAGATTAAGGGCTTAGAGAAAGCCTTGGATTTTAATACCAGGAAAAGGTCATTTATGATCTTTGAAGGAGAAAATTAGGTCAATTGTTAGGGCACAAAACTTTAAGGATTCACAGAGGGAGTATTTAGTTTTATGATTTGGATCTTAAATGTGCCCCAAAACTCATGCATTGAATGCTTGTTCCCCAGTTGATGAAACTATTAGGAGGTGGTAGCAGTAAGCCCCAGTTGGAGGAAATAGGTCACTTACCTTTGAAGGGAATCCTGGTCCCTTGGTCATTTCCTCTTGTTTTGTTTTGATTTCTGGATGTCATAAGGTGAGCAACTTTGCTCAACCACATACTCTTTGCCATACTATTCTGCCTTGTCATAGGCCCAAAGAGATGGAACTAAGCAAGCATGGACTAAAACCTATGAAACCATGAGCCAAAATACACATTCCTTCCTTATGTTTATTGTTTCTGGTATTTTGTCATACATAGCAACAGAAAGCTGACTAACACTGTGATGAAACTGTACGAGTCTCCAACCCCTTCTGTCTGTCATCAAGGCATTCAACATAGCAGTGTAACACTGAGAATAAATCCCACCCTCAGAAACTTGACCTGTATCACTGACCTTATGTTACCTGCCAGCCATTCATCATGAGCTGGGGTTCATTTCCACCGTGACTTGGATGAGCAGATCTTGCGCATCATCCCTTGCTGCTCTATAAACTCTTTCCAGTTCTGCCCCTTCAATACCATATCAAGTCATATCCTATAATGAACTCGTATAGTTGTTATCAAAAAAATTTAGCTTTTTAATGCTCTCATGTTTGTATTTATCTGTGTGTAAAATAATCCAAATTGAGTTAATTTTATATAAGTAAATAATGGAATTAAGGAAGGAAAGTGATGCTTTTCATCAGGAGCATAAATAAGTAAGCAAGGGAAAATTAAGAAGGTCCTAACTCAGTAAACTAATGATATAAAAGGTCATCCAACCTCAAGACAATATATTAAGACAGAAAAGGCAAAAGGCAGATTTAAATATCTCTTGTCTCATTTCAATCATTGTTTGTGCCTGCTTTTTTTTCTTGTTCTTTGCAGTACCATGATTGAACCAAGCCCTTCACACATGGTATGTAGTGCTATACTGCTGTGCTTCACCCTTATTCTATCCTGCTAACTTTTAAAAAAGACTTTATTGAGATAAAATTTACAGAGCATATAGTTCAACTCTTTAAAGTGTTCATTTCAATAGTTTTAATTAATGTAAGGAACTGGACAACCATCACCATAATCTAATTTTAGAATATTTTCATCATCACAAAAAGAAGACTTGTGTCCATTAGAAATCATTCCTCCTTCTCCCCTCTCCAGTAGCCCCAGCCAATGATTGATCTACTTTCTGTCTCTGTAGGTTTGCCTGTGTGGGTCATTTCAGATAAAAGGAATCACACAATAGATGCTCTTTTGTTTCTGATTTCTTTCACTTAGCATAATGTTTTTGAGGTTCATCTTGTGGCTTATACAAGTACCTAATTCCTTCTTATGGCTGAATAATGTCGTGTTGTATAAATATGCTGTATTTTGTTTATTCATTTATCAGTTGATGACCATTTCTGTTGTTTACACATTTTTGCCATTGTGAATAGTGCTGCTATGGGCATTGATGTTCAACATTTTGCATGATGTATGCGTTCATTTCTCTTGGGTATAGATTTAGGAGTAAAATTGTTGGGTTATATGGTAATGGTATATTTAATATTTTAAGGAACAAACTGTTTTGCATAGTGGCTACACCATTTTACATTCTACCAGCAATGTGTAAATGTTACAATTTCTCTTCTTCCTCACCAACACATGTTAGCATTTTTCTGATTATAACCATTTTAGTGGATGTGAAGTGGTACCTTCATAGGACTTTTATTTTCATTTCTCTAAAGGCTAAACGTGATGAACATCTTTCATGTACTCATTTCATGTGCTTTATATATTGTCTTTGGAAAAGTGTTTGTGTAAGACCTTTGCCCATTTTTTAACTGGGTTGTTGCCGTTCATCAGTCAGTTGTATATTCATCTATTTTCTATAGTGAAATATCCAAATGTAGACAGCTTATAAAGAAAAGGGGTTGTGCTAGTCAGCCTTCCAATGCTGTGACAAAATATCTGAGAAAATCAGCTTCAAAGAAGGAAAAATTTATTTTTGCACTTGGCTTTAAAGGTTTCAGTCTGTGGTCAGCTGGCTCCATTTCTTTTAAGCCTGAGGCAAGGCAGAAACATCAGGGCAGAAGGGCATGAGAGAAGAAAGCTGTTCACCTTTTGGCATGCAGGAAGTAGAAACAGAGGAGGGATATGCCTTTTGAAGACACACCTCTAGTGACCCCCTTTTCTTCAAGTAGGTTCCACCTTCTAATAACCAGTTCAGCTATGAACTCATCAATGGGTTAATCTGTTGAGGAGGTTAACAACTTCATGATCCAGTCACCTTTCTGTAGTACCACTAGCTGGAGATCAAGTCTTGAACACATGAGTCTTTTGCGGAGACATTTCACATCTAAACCATAACAGGGGTTTAATTTACTCACAGTTCTAGAGGTTCGGGCCCCAATGTAAGCTCAGCCATGATGAGGATATTCCTGGCAGATGGCATCAAAATGGGGAATGCACATGAGAGAGAGATCACATTATAAGACAGGAAGCCAAAGAGGATGAGGACTAGCTAGATGTGTTCTTTTTTAACAACTCCCTCACAAAACTAACTCAGAGTACTGCGAAAACTACCTAACCTCTCCTGAGTACAGCACCCCTAATGTCCTAACTGCCCCTCACTAGGGTACATCCTTTATATGTTCCACATGCCACATTTCCATACTGGAGATCAAGATTACAGCAAATGAACCATTGAAGGACAAACTTTGACCATGTCCAAAATCATAGCATTCTGCTCCTTGGTTCCCAAGGTTCATATCTGTCTCACAATGCATTTGCATTAATTCTTTGTCAATAGCCCCGAATTCTTAACTTTTTCCAACATCAGTTAAAAGTCCAAAGTCTCATCTGAGATTCAAAATAAACTCTTCTTAGCTATGAACCCATGTTAAACTAAAACCAAAACCAAAGAATGCAAGTTATATACTTCAAAGATACAGTGGTAAAACAGGGATATTATGAATATTTCTACTCCAAAACGAATAGCTAAGTAATTAGGGATAAATAGAGAGTAATTAGCCCAAAGCATAACTGAAAACCAGTAAGGAAGACATTAAATCTTAAAGTTCTAAGTCTGACATCTTCTGATGGAAATTGGGTCCTGTATTAGTCAGCTTTGTATCACTATAGCAAAATATATGAATAATTAACTTAAAAAAAGGTTTATTTTGGCTCAGTTTTGGAGATTCCAGTCCATGAATTGTTGACATGTTGTTTTTGGGCCAGTGGCAAGGCAGCTCATCATTGTGGGACCACATGGCAGAATGAAACCTACTCAGAGAAAGGAGGATACTGGGGCTACATAATCCCTTTCAATGGCATGCCCCCAAACACCTAAAAACCTCCTAGAAGGTTCTACCTGTTAAAGATTCAGATCCACAATCTCTCTATAGCACTACATTAGAATCCAAGTTTTAAACAATGGGCCTTTGGGCCCATCATCCAAACTATAGCAGCCCCCAAGACCTCTGGTAGCCTCATCTTCTTTGGCTCTGATTTAGGAAAAATACTGCTTTTTATCATCTTCAGGCAAGGAATAGGCTTTGGTAGGGGGGGGACACCTGTTCCTTCCATTAAACTTAGTTTGATTTTTTTCCTGTTCTATCCCCTAAAGAGGCATCTTTTTTTTAAACTCTGAATTTTCTTTCCAATGCATGGATAAACAAATAAGCATAGGATAAAGAGCAGGATTTGTCTTAGATTCTTCTCCTCTCTGCAGAGTCTGAGTATCAAGCAGGACAAAATTCAGCAGATGAATCCTGCAAAGTTTGAAATGATTGAAGATATGGCAATGTTGATTCACCTCAATGAAGCATCTGTGCTACATAACTTGAAGAAACGCTATGAACATTGGATGATCTATGTGTGTATATCTGCTTTATTGATAAAATATCAATTTAGTGGTGTTCCAACCTCTCCCAGTAGAAATCTTACATTTAATTTAAGAATACTCACATAGAAACAATCTTTGAGGAACACCCACTGGGGAAGGGCTTATCTTAGCATTCTCTCAGTCTTATCTTGTCAGCATTCATATTCCTTCTTACATGTTGTCATGCTAAGCTAAAATTATAAGGTTTAAAACCCAATAGACCAGTGTCCAAATGCTAGCTCTGTTACTTATTAGTTAAGGTTCTTAATTTTTAAGAATTTTCTTAGTAGAAAATCTATTTGAGATGTGTCATTCTTGATATAGTTTTGCAAAGAGGTAGAAATGGAGCATGCTTATATTTTATACACATACACATTTATGTACATGCATACACACACATGCCTTGTGGAGATAAATGAGCAGTTATGAATCTTTCATGGCATTCTCTGTTTGGATATTAGGGAAAATTGAGCTGAGGCCCTAAAGTGTTGATGTGTTGATGGTAGCAATTGTCCCCCTGATTACAAGATAGTTATCTATCATCTTTATCACTAGACAATAAGCTCCTTGAAGGCATACCAAGTCTCTGTCATGGTTGATTTGCCTAGCAAATACTCAATAAACATGTTTTTAATTAATCAGTTAAAAAAGATAAAATACTCGACTTTTATGGGCCTTATGGTAGTAAAATGAACACTGCTAAAGTCAGAATAGCCATCTAGACAGAAGGTTGATAAACATGGACTAGAACTTGTGATCCTCGTGTGTGTACACCTACTGTTCCATGCGTGGAGGTCCAAGAGCAGCATTTAGGCCTATCCTGACACTGAGATATTTCTGCTTGGAGGGCAACACAACAAGACCCTCAGTGAGGATGGGTTTGTCTACTCTTATGACATCTACTCAATCTTGTTGAGAAATAAGTGTCTCAGTGCAGTCCCAGGTAAGGATAGGGTTGTCGTCTTACCATTTCTCCTCTATATTTTTCAGCCTTGACTTCTTGAAGTTGCCCTTCTGTGAGATGGGATAATGATGCTTGGCTCTCCATGATAGCTTGCTGGATTAAATAAAATAATGTAGATCAATCACAAAATTTAGTGCTTGTCACCTAATTAGTGCTCAATAAATGGAGTGATTTTTCCACAGTCATTAAATTGGTGATTGCTCGTTACTTGTTGCTGATTTACTCAAAGCCTATGCATCAAAAGGAACACTGAAGAGTTTGTCTTAGATGGTGGCATTTGGGACCAACTTCCACAGTACAACCTGCAGCATCTTGCTCCTTGGCTCTCTAATTTACCATGTAACTGTATTAGTTTCTTTGGGATGCTATCACAAAATTACCACAAATTGGGCGACTTAAAATTCTGTTGTTTTTCTTATAGTTCTGGTGGCTAGAAGTCTAAAATAAAATCAACTCAGCAGGGTTGCACTCCCTGAAGATGGTCTTTCTTGTCTTTTGTAGCTTCTTGAGGCTATTGACATTTGTGGCTGCATCACTTTAATCTCTGCCTCCCTCATTTTTTATTTTTCATTGACACAGGTCTCATTATGTAGCCCAGGCTAGCCTTGAACACGTGATCCTCTTGCCTCTGCCCCCAGTCTGTCTCCATCTTTTTTTTTTTTACCAGTTTTACTTCTTTATGTCTCTTATAAGGATACCAGTTATTAAATTTAAGGCCCATCTTCAGTCTCTTAATTATACCTGTAAAGACTGTTTTTCTGAATAAGATAATATTCACTATCTCTGGGGATGAAGATATAAACATACTTTTTTATGGAGACAGGAGGATTGTAGCTGGTGGAAAAGTTAGTGAGACATCTCAAAAATAAGCCAGGCATGGTAGCTCACACCTATTGCCTCACCTACCCTACTCTAGAGTCAGGGGTGGGAGGATTACAATTTGAGGATAGTCCAAACAAAGGTAGTTCAAAACTCTATCTGAAAAATAAACTAAAAGCAAAAGTTTAGGGTTGTGGCTCAAGTTACTATTTGAGCACTTACTTAGCAAGCGCAAGACCCTGAGTTCAATCCCAGTACCTCTCCACTTCCCCTCTTCAATGTATCATTTTGGAATCCCCTATTCAATCACTTCAGTGACAGAGAGGCCCACATTGAGCTACTTACTTTGCTTCAATGTCCTGAAAGTCAGATTCTTAGTCTTGCTGAGACAAAGATTCTATTCTGACCTCAAATGACTGATGACTGGCTACTAAAATACCTATATAGGCCTGCTATTGTGTTCTCTCTTTTTTCCAAAGCTATATATGTCAAACATGTTAGTAGTTAGCAGATCTCCTTGGGGAAGGGTAATTCCAGGTCCTGACATTGGTCTAACCTAGTCTCTCTCCTTCTGTTAGAACTCCCTTCTTAAAAGCTCTCCTCTTTTGGGTTCCTTTATAAGTAGACATTCAACTAAGTGTGACCTGACAGGGAAAGAGCTAACAAATGTGCTACTATTTCTAATCTGCTTTCTGGTCTTCTTTAGACATATTCAGGTGTCTTCTGTGTGGCCATAAACCCTTACAAGTGGCTTCCAGTATATCAGAAAGAAGTTGTAGCTGCCTACAAAGGGAAGAGGCGATCAGAAGCTCCCCCTCACATCTTTGCTGTGGCTGAAAATGCCTTTCAAGATATGCTTCAGAGTAAGTATCTGCCCTATGAAATAAAAAGTAAAAATATCTGATCTACAGGTTTTGTTGATGACTAAGAGATAGTTAGGCATTATAAGCACAGCGCATGGACTTATGGTTAACTAATGCCTTGAAGCCAACCATTTCCTTCTGGATAAAAAGTGGATAAAATAGTACAGACCTACTAGTGTTGCTGAGAGAATTAACTTTCACTTCAAAGTGAAATAGTGCATTTACAGTGCTGCAGTTGGTGTCTGATTTAGAGTAAGCCCTCTATAGATGTCTGATTTTCTTTTATGTAAGGCATCTGCTGTCACATCTAACTCAAAGCAGTTATTCTGTAACTATTATTACACAATGATTCTCTAAACGCTTAAAATGGCAAAAGGTCAACCATTAGTTGGTTAACATTTACAAGTAAAGCAAGGAAATAGTCCCACAATTTATATTTTCTTATAATTGTGGTACACAAGGAAATCTATTTTATTCTGTGTCATTAAAATTGTATTTTTTACTAACTGAAAATGAAGTGAATCTTTCTCTTGTGTCTGACAATGAATTACAGCATGAAAGTTGTGAATAAATTCGTGCCAATACATAATGTCTTGTATAAGAATAATCTGGTATTTTCCTATCTTTTGTAGATCAAAAGAATCAGTCTATACTCTTCACGTAAGTGTTTGCCTTGTTTTTCCTTTTGGCTCACAAGAAGTTACAGTGAAAACAGACACCTTCATTTCACTGAAAATTTGACATCTTTGAACAGTTTGTTCTTTAAATGAAGAATATGTTCTAGGCAAGAATAAGATACTCAGCGAATTGTCAGAATGCTTTAGTCAGTGATTACTCTAAATATGGTGTCAGGTAGACTACCCCAATTTTTTTAAGAGACCTTTAGGATCCACAGTGCACAAACTAGGCTCAAGGAACTTCTTGGTGGAGGGAGCTCCACTCTCCAGAGGATCACCTTCAAAGATCTCTATACTGACTGATTAAAATTAAACAGCAAATCTGAAAACACAATGCATAAGAACTTAGAACAAGCCATGGCACACTGTTGTGGGTAGTCAGATTGGGGAAGTCATGGTACAGTAAGTAGTGGGAATTACAAGATGGTTTTGCTTTGAAGGTTAAGAAATGATGGTGAAGAGGAAGGAAGGAAAACACTACAGTGATAGTTATAGTATGTTAATTTTGATGAAAAGAACACTTAAGTCAGCAGGTGGCTGAGATTCAAGATGCTGTGATGCCAAGTCTTTGGTCTTCCTTTGCAATGATCATTCCACCTTGTATATTTGGGTCTCTTTTGGTTTACGCTCTCTCAAGAGTGCTCATAGTGTCATAGAATTTTAGAGCGAGATGGGTAGCTAAGATTCAGCCCTTTGTAGATAGACTGATTTTTGGAGTTTCATATAGTGTTCGTTCTATGATGTTTGGGTAATAAGCCTAGAAATTTTCCACTGGTTATTCCCACGTTACAAAGTTATCTGGTTATCAAATACAAAATGGGAAGCTATAGAACAACTTCCAGGTGAAATTATTGGTAGGCCCTTTTCTGCGAAGAGGGTTGGGGTTGATCAGTATTACTTAACTTCCATTGCATTGATAATTAGAGCCAGTTAACTGTGTTACTGAATTTCAAATCTCAGAGGAGAATCTGGTGCTGGAAAGACTGTGAACACAAAGCATATTATCCAGTATTTTGCCACTACAGCAGTCATGCATGCATCCAGGAAAAAGATGGTAAGTGTTCATATACTGTGTTCATGTATTGGTAAGGTGACATGGCCCTAAGCGCTAACTCACAGAGGCGCTGCCCTGACTGCTTATAGTAAACAAGGAGGTGGAAAGAACCACAGAATGGCTGACAAGGTTGGAAAAGTCTTGTTTTCTTTCTTTTAGCCCTTGAGAGGATCATCAATGCTCTAATCCAGTAATATGAAAACATGAATTATATAATTTCAGATCTGCTTCAAGGGGCACTTATTGACCTGGTCTCTGTTAGTTGGACCCTCTGTTAGTTATTCCTTCAAGATCCAAACCATTTTACTTTAAGGGTAGAGTTATCAGTACCTTGAATGACCACTTTTTATATTTCTGAATCTCTTTACATATAGGATGGTGTCTAATTCCCATAAATATGCACAAATAGAAATCTGTTTCCTTTACTCTTTAACTCTTGCATGAAATCTGAAATATCCAAAAGACATACCCTGAAATTTAATCACATTCAATGTTCTGAAAAATTTTACCTTCTTTCTCTATTTAATGTTTTTTCCTGAAAGGTTTTTAATTTAGCTTACTTTGCATTGCCCCATAACAAGTTTGAGGCTACTGGATCATGAAAGTATGTATACAAAATAAAACTCAGTAAAATGGAGCAGAATTCAAAATCAATGAGTTATTGAACTATTAGAGCTCTCATCTTTTCATATCTGATATTGCTATTTTGCCTTTTTCAATACAATCTTATATGTTGTCTACTGGTTTTGCTCAGTAAGTATATCAAGGTAGTCATCTGGTTTGAATTTCAAACGGTAAAATGTTTCTTTTTCAAGACCACACTGTTGAATTTAACTGATTTTTTTAGGTTTTATTGACTATACTTTTCCTTAGATAAAACTTTCTTTTGTGTGTATTTAAGGTTTTTTGTTTGTTTGCCTTTTTTGGTGTGCATTAATCGATTTGGTCTACCTATTCAGTCTTATGATGATACACAACACAATATGTAACACATAATACTTTGTTCATATAGCACTTTTACTTATTTCAGGGATAGTAGAGCTATATTATTCAGAAGAGAAAATATTTGTAAATCTATATATTCTTGAATACCATATACTATATAATTACTTCCATAAAATGGTTTAAAAGATAAGTGGAAAACACAAAGCCATGATTCAATGTGGCTGCTAGCTGGTCATCATGGTCTTCTCTGTTGTAGGTGACTTTTTTGGCCCATAGTCAATGTACATGATTCAAATTCAAGATCAATACCATTACAAGTCAATGCTTGGTATAAACCTCTAGAGTACTTAGGAATAGTAGAAAGCAAAAATGTAATTTAAAAATGATAAGAGTCTGTTCTATTATCCTATGGTCAATCTCCAGGTATTAGGACTAGATGCCAAGAGAGGAAGTAATCAGTGGGGTCTATATGGAATGAAGTTTGTATGGAAATAGATTATGGTATTTTATGTTTGTTTATTTTGGTAAGTAACCATATACTTTTCTCACTCAGACTAATGATTACCAGAACAAAAGCATTACAAATAAATGAGCTCATAGATATACGTATATATTTATAGGAGCATCATATATGAAGTCCCTCACCCATTTGTTTTTCTGAATCCTGATTCCAAAATATTTTATAATCAAGCTTGGAAAGAGCTTTTGACTGCTTTTGTTTATTAAAAAATGGGCATGATTGTGGTGATGGAGGATTTGATACAATATAGAATTCAGATAAAAATTTAATCAGCTGCACTTCTTTAGCATGCATCTCAGGGGACATTAGAAGATCAAATCATGCAAGTGAATCCTATCTTGGAAGCATTTGGACATGCCAAAACTCTGAGAAATGACAACTCGTCTCGTTTTGTAAGTAACATTAAAATAATATCAGTGTCTTTAATTTTTAAGCAATGGTAAAACCATATCTGTACATGAGTACAAAGAAAAAATTCTACAACATCAAAGAAGGTCTTTGATTAAATTCTATTCTATTGTTAGATTTCTCAAAACTTTTTATACCAGCTATCAATTATACCTACCCGTAAATATATGTTTGAGAAGCTTTTATTTGGTGAACTTCAAGAAGAATGTATTTATCTTAAAGGTTTCAAATTTCTTTCCCTTTCCAGTAGGGAGGCTCACCTAACAAATTATAATAATGCTTTATATTTTATTACATTTTATAGATTTGAAGTACTTCTTCTTCATAATTTTCTGTACTCTTCATAAGTCAAGTTAGTAGGCATGTTCTAATTCTCTTAGTATAATTATTCTTCCTACTCTTACCTATTGCCTTTCTCTCCTGACATATTTCACTGGGGACTTTTTATTAAGAAAAAGTTAGTATTTGATAACTAGATGCTCCATGACAAAGTAAGAATTTGAATTTGAAAATCTATTTTCACAAATCCACTTTGTGCCAAGAATGAGTGGCAGGGAGCCATTATATAATTTACAAGGATATCTGCAGATGGCTTCCCATTTGAGTCTCTGGGCATAATTACATAATAGCTTCATGCTGATTTATCTACTTTCTATCTAAAGCCTTAGAGCTGATCAGTCACATTTTTCTATTTGCAATGATGGTCTGGTCACTGCAGTTATTAATACTGTTTCATTAGACAATATGTAGATTTGGTATTTTTTAAAACATTGAAGCATTTTCTGATTGAATTTGAAAAATAGGAAGCTGAAAAGAAGGAAGAGAAGGAAGAGGAAAGAAGGGAGAAAGAGAGGGAAAAATTTTTTTAAAAGAAAAGAATGTTAAAGAAAAGGAAGAAAGGAAATAAGAAGAAGTAGATGGAGAGCTAAAGAAGAAGGAAGGAAAGCACTTGAAACAGAATAAGAACAAAGTAGGAAAGATAAAAAGAAGTAGAGAAAATAAACATAATTATGAATGGAAGGAAAGAAGGGAGAAGGAAAGAGAAAAATTGGCTCAATAAACATCAAGAAATCAAGTTAAATTCTTCCATTTAATATTATATATGTATCCGTACATATATACACACTATGTGTATGCTTGTTTATGTAGCTCCCCTTGTCCTATATTTTTCTCTCTTTTTTTTTTAAATAGGATCTCATACTATAATCCAGGCTGACTTTGAATTTAACCCGTAGCAGGCTGACCTCAAACTCATCGTTCTCCTGCCTCACCCTCCTGAGTGCATTATAGGTATGTGCTAGCACATCAGGATTGTTCTACATTTTTAGTCACTGTCCCTCCCAGCCAGGCTGTTTTCTTCTCTGGGACTTTCCTGGCATGGGCTGACCTCTGCCAGGCTGCCTTCTGCCCCACTCCAAATTCTTTATCCTCCAGGAGCCAGCTCCTCTCAGAACCTTTTTAATTGTATCTGGCATTCTTCCATAGTCACTGTCACCTCTGGACAGCCTTTCTGTCCTGCTTGTCCCTGCCTTGTGACTTTGCATTGAGAAGGAATGAAGAGGTCCCATCTATTGTTTATGCCAAAGTGTGTTTTGAGACATAAATCAGATCACCTCACTCCTCTTCCCTTAACCTCCCAATGTCTCCTGAGCACACATGAAATGAAGTCCTAATCTTTCCTATATTCTAGAGGGCTTGCATGCTTATCTATTTCCCAGACTTGGTTTTATATTTCCTTTTATCTTAAGGCTAAGCTGAAGAACAAGTTTCTTTTCCTTTGATTTCAAAACATGCCAGCTGTTCCCATTTTAAAGCTGTTGTAGTAACCTCTTACCTTCTAGAATATACAGTTCATGAGGGTGGAGATCATGCCTATTTTTCTTGTGTGGTGTCTTTGGTGCCTATCATTGGATAACAACAGATGCTCAATGAAGGAATGAAGGATTGTGCTGAGTAGATGCTATATTTTTTATTTTTAGACAAGATCTTGAGGCCCACAGAAAATTCGCAGTGCACACAAAATGCTTAAGAGTACACAGATAGCAATAGGCAGATCACTACTGGTCCTGACAATCATTCTAGCTCCCTCTAGGCATTAATTGTTGCCAACTTACCTCAAACCTATGTTGTATTTTATATTTCTTAATCTTTTTGTAAAGTAGACACTTCTAGGGTTATTTATATAATGAAGCCAATGAACCTGTTTGGAAAGTTTAAATAGGAGAATATTCTGTGTCTACCTAGGGAAAATTCATCAGGATACATTTTGGTCCCAGAGGCACAGTGTCATCTGCAGACATCAAGATCTGTAAGTAATTATTGCACTATCTGACTGCCTTACTTTTAAGTTTTATGAGAATATTGAAGGATGAATCTTTTCATTTTGCACCACCCAGATTTGCTCGAAAAATCCCGGGTGATGTATCAGCAGCCTGGAGAGAGGAACTACCATATATTTTATCAAATTCTAGCTGGAAAAAAAGAACTTCATGGTAAGTATGAGTCTTGAGCTGAGGGTCATTTTAGAACAGTCTCTTCACCTTCTTAGACCTAAATTTATTCATTCTACAATTCAGGGAACTGAATCAATTATACCACCAATCTGCAAGTTCATGTGGTAGAGTAAATGGCAACAATGTTTTCCAGTTCGGTAGTAAAAGGAAGAGTGTTTGTTGAACGTGGATAAAATGACTGGAAAAGTTAAGCGTGTGTGTGTGTACGTATTAGATAATTTAAGGCCTTAAATGATTACAGACACCTGGACAGTATAGACAAGAGGTCAGAGGAGGGAGACATCACTGTGGTGTAAAGTGGTCAGTGGAAGTTTTGTAAAGAAGAGGGATGTGGTTTGGGATGAACAGGAAGTGGGATTAACCACACAGAGTCAAGAGTGGAGAGCATTTCCAAAAGGAAGAACACTGTATACAATGCCAGGAAAAGGCAAATAAAGAGCAGCAACACAATCCAAGCTGACTGGAAGACAGGATTTGCAGACAGGACTAGTGGAGACTTTATTGTGATCATTCTTGCACTCAGGGATTTAGGAAGTTGTGTCTGGGTTCTGTAGTGGTTGGGTTGGGTGACAGATCATTCATCCTTTTCAGGGCAGTGTGAAGGTTGATTAAACTGGTGTTGTGGGCAGCATAGTGTGGAGGCAGAAATACTAGAGCTAGGTGATTGCAATAGTCCTAGGCAGAATTACTGAAGATAGTGTATGTGGGAATGAGGAAAAAGTACTGGTTTGTTGAAGAATAATACGCCACGGCAATGACTGACTATAGGAATGAGAGGAAATGATGACTCAAAAATACACTCAAGTTCTGTGAGTTGACTAGAACAATTGAACAGAAATAGAGAACAAATTATGAGTTTAGACAATGAGTTTAATGTATTTGTTCAACAAATATTTACTGTGGGATTGCTATGTTATATAGCAGGCATTGCTATTTGAGCATAGGGAACAGAGTGGTGAATAGAAACACAGGTCCCTGCCATCAGGACCTTACGTTCTTGTATGGAAGACAGGCAGTAACAAGTACACACAGTAACATATTAGAGAGTGGCAGGTCTATAAGGACACAGAATGGTGGGGTGATAGACTAAATTGGGTTTGGAGGTTTTTAAGTGGTTGGCTATATTTTAGATATAATAACAAAAAAATTTCTCCCTGCTAAGACAATATGGTGAGTGCCTTCACCAAATAGGAAAAACCCTGTGAACTAGAAAATTGTTTTCACCATGGTCGTATTAGTCATGTATAAGCAACAGCTGTTTCCTCCAACTAAACTTGGAACAGGATTTTTTTTTTCCTCTACTGGGATTTGAACTCAAGGTCTCACCATTTAAACCATTCCCCCATCACAGTTTTGCTTCTTTTTTCCAGATTTCTAGATAGGGTCTTTTTTTTTCCCCCCTAGGGCAGGCCAGTAGTTGCAATTACTGACACTCACCACCATACCTGGTTTATTGGTTGAGGTGGGATCTCACTAACATTTTGCCCAGGTTGAACTTGAATCGTGATCCACCCATGCTCCTTCCCTTGAGTAGCTGGGATTACAGGCTCATACCACAGCACCTAGATAAATCTAACAATCGTGATGTGAATTTCTATGCTGTGCATGAACACATGGAGTCTAATTTAGTACCCAGTTGTAACCTCAAAAATTTGGGGGGCATCTATGATTTCTGATGCACAGAACCATCTGAAGCTTTTGGACTGCTCTGTAAAAGTCATGCTTATTCTGAATCCATTCATCTTGCTGATTCTTTGGTGCTGCTCAGATGGATTGGTGTGCAACAGCTGACACCTGGTGGCTTAAATTGGGTATTACCAATCTCCTTGTCATAAGGAGCATAAATATGATTGGGTACTCTTTTCCTTCGTGTTTGCAAAATAAAAGCGTTTCAGAGCCTACTCAGGATTGATATAAGAAAGCACATTCTAACTTATTAGTATTTGTTGTATTATCAAAAAATCAGATATGGAAAATCACAGAAGAGATGCTTCCTACCCACTGAAATAGCTGAAAATGAAGTGATGTGTTACCTTGAGGCCAGCCCCCATTTAGCTTCTACCTGGCCACTGAGGCCTTTTTCCTTATTTGCTCTCAGAGAGGCTGATCCTTATTCTAGGCATAGTAGACACGCACCTCCTCTTTTCCCTCACATTCAATTTCTTCAAAATCCTTTAGTTTCTTAATTATTATCATTTCTCCTTCTTCTTCTTCCTCCCCCTCCTACTTCCATTCTTCTCTCCCTCCCTCCCTGTCTCACACACACAATCACACCATTACCCTGTCTATTAATTTATTGTACTCATTCTTGCTATTCAAGTGGTATGAAAAAGCTAGAAGGAGAGATTCAGTGATCAAGATTCCTTGCCTCTTGAAATCCTTGACATTTTTTTCAGTATCCCAAGTACTCACATCCTACAGTGTGTGAAAACCATGTGTACATAGTGAGGAAACAACCTAGGGAATGAGAGAAAACACTGCAAACCATGTGATAAGGGGATTAATATAAATATATATAAGAAACTCAAACAACTCAATTGCAAGAAGACAAACTGATTAAAAACAGGCAAAGGACTTAAAAAGACATTTCTGAAAAGAAGACATACATATGGCCAATAGGTCTATAAAAATGCTCAACATCATTGATTATTAAGGAAATGCAAATAAAAATCATATTGGATATTGCTTTATACACATTAGAATGACTATTATCAAAAAGACAAGAAATAGCAAGTAGTGGGAATGTAAATTACTATAATCATTATGGAAAACAATATGGAGTCTTCCCAAAAAACTAAAACTAAAACTACCATACCAGAAATCCCAAAATCCCACTTGTGGGTATAAATCCAAAAATAATGGAACAGGTAACTTGAAGAGACATACCATGTAGACTCCCATGTTCATTGAGCATTGTTCATAATAGTTAAGATATTAAATCAATCTAAATGCCCATCAAAGGTATGAAGAAAATGTGATGCATATATTCATACACATACAATGAAATACTAGTCAGCCTTAAAAAGGGTATCCTCTTATTTGTAACAACATGGATGATCCTGGAGTATATTATGCTGGGTGAAATAAACCACATATAGAAAGATATGTGTTGTATGATGTCACTCATGTGGAATCTAAAAAAAGTCAAATTACAGTGTGGAACATGGTGATTATAGTTAAAGCTATGGATCGTATACTCGAAAACTGCTAAGAGCAAATTGTTTAAAACTCTGCCCACACAAAAATGTATATGTAAGGTAATAGCTAACTGAATTAGCTGAATTAATGCATACCAAAATGTGTGTGTACATATGTATACATATATGTCTATACAAATGTATACATGCACACATTTGCTTGGAGGAAGGCATATCATAAATATACACACATACACTATGTTGTACAACATAAATACACAGAATTTCTGCCAATTATGAAACAAATAAAACTGCCAGGTGCTGGTGGCTCATGTCTGTAATCTTAGCTACTTGGGGCTGAGATTGGGAGGACTGTGGTTTGAGGCCAGCCCAATCAAATAGTTTGTGGGACCCCATCCCAAAATAACCAGAGCAAAATGTATGGGAGGTGTGGCTCAAGTGGTAGAGCACCTGTTTGCAAGTGCAAAGCCCCGAGTTCAAACCCTAGTCCCCCCAAAAACCCCAAAAGAAACTAATAAAATAATTTAAAACACAAATAAATTCTTTAAGTTTTATGGATAATATTTCCATCAAAAATAATGTATTTTGTTTGGCATTGCTTGATGCCCAATTCCCTTTTAACTTTTAAGTTGTATAAAATGGCTTTGTTGAGGCACTCAGTAATTCAGATCTAAAATTCCCTGCATGTGTCTGAAATGTACAATTGGTGTTAGAATATGTATATATGTGAGAAACAGTTATCACAATCAAGATAATGCACATATCCATTGAAAAGTTTCCTCAGAATCTTGTGTAATCTCTGCCTCCTGCCTTTTCTCAGTTGTTGGAATCCTCTAGGCAACCACTTAGAGTGTTTTGTCACTATAGATTAGGTTATATTTTCTATAATTTTATTTATCAAATCATCTTCTATATTTCCTTTTTGTTCAGATAATTTCATTCTGATAGCAGATTCTGCCAAGTCAGTTGATTGCTCTGACATCCTGCCTTGGCTTTGGTCTGCATTATGCTTCTGCTGAATGAATCATGTCAGGAGTCTTAGACCTATCAGCAATGCAGTGTTGAACACTGTAGCTGATTTATGGATCCCTTGAAAGATGGACTCAGCCTCCTAAGAGTGAGGATGGGATGTGACAGGCTATACTGCTAATGTTCCCTGGGTGCTGACCTAAGGGTCTGGCTCCTTCTTGCCTTTGAACCTCAGGTGTGTTCTTAAAATTTTACAAAACTTTTTTTTTTTTTTGTCCTCTGGCCCTCATCCACGAATATAGGTCAAATGTCTGCTTTCCAGGTTTTACCAGCACATATTACCTGTTTTATTTTGTTTCTCTACACCAATTCAAGCTGCTGCAGTTAAATCTGCTTTTGGATTTGGGCAGACTATCTTCTCTTGGGAGGCAGTAACATATGACTAACAAGTTAATAGAAGGCAAAAATTGATTATAAGGGTTTTCGTTGAAAATAAGATTTTATTTTGGCTTGTTTACAACTCTGTTAGAAAGTATAAGAATAAACATGAATATTGGTTGATTACTTTCTCAGGCCCTGTGCATGTCTCTAGGCTGTTTAACGAATGGTTTTCCACTGTAGACATACTCCTGGTGTCTGCAAATCCCTCTGACTTTGACGTGTGTTCCTGTGGAGTGGCTGCTGTGGAGAGCTTGGATGATGCTGCAGAATTGCTGGCCACAGAAGTAAGGCTTGGTAGTTGTCAAAGCAAAGTCTGATGATGACAATGAGAAACAAAAGAAAGCAGTAGAGAGCTTCCTTCTTCTGAAGAGAACTGGAGAAGTGGCCTTGCTCTCCTGGGGTGGAAGGCTGCTTCTGTGTAAAGTTTACTTACCATGAAAGTGTGCTTTGTCAGTAGAGTGACATTGAAATATGGAAAAGTATAAAGAAATTTCAACTTAATGGAAACATCTTTTATTCAGTGTCTATTTCTACAGTCTATTCTATTTTTATCTATTTGGGATTTTGCTTTTGTATGGCCATGATGATGTTTTTGTTTTTTAGAAGTTCATAATCATTCTGCATATCCTATTTGGCTTTTAGAGTTTGATTTTTCAATTTCATCTTAGACACAATCCAAGTGTCACTATAATGTCTTCATGAACATTTAAATGGATAGTCAATATTTTATGAGGTATTTGTCCTAATTGCTTATTGAGTCATTCTCTTTTAGTCTCAAGACTTTTGTCCTTCTCTCCTCACTCCAGTGAATATATTTGTAGGTAAATATTTCTTCTGTATATCAGATTCAATTTATGCTAGACTCTTAATATTGAAATTACTATGTAAAGAAGATGAAATTTCAGTCTCCTCATACATATCTTAAATTAACCAATAGAATGATTGAACCCATTTTTATCCTCCTGGAATGTATGAGAATTCACTTCATGTCACGAGCAGTGGCTTCTTAGGATGCGATTCTAGGTGACATGGCTTTTCTTCTCTTAAATGCTTCCTTTTTACCAGTCATTGAAATGAACATGCTCTGGAATAAAATCAGGTTCACAGAACATATGGGATCACAGAGAAAAATAACCCAGCAGATACAGTGCTTTCTGCCATAATTGTGAAGGCAAAATAATTGACCTCATGTAGACAGTGATGTGCTGCAGGAAGGGAGAGGAGAGGAAAGTTCTAAAACTAGTAGACACTAAACCAGCCATGTCTTGTGCCTTCCTAATTCTCTTTTAAAGGAATGAGCAGACTGCTAGTGACCAAGTGCCAAATGAGCCCATTTGCATTGCTTTGAACAGAGATGTCAGACCCTGGGGTCTGTGGTGCTCTGTCTCTCATTCCTGCCAGCCAACATCCTAGTGTGTGAATGTGATGCACACAGTGGGGTGAGATCCTTACTGCAGCCATTAGGCAAAAGAAGACCTGGCCATCGGTTTCTCTTTTTACAGCAAGCCTTAGATGTCTTGGGATTTCTTCCTGATTGGAAGTATGGATGCTACAAACTCATTGGAGCCATCATGCACTTTGGAAACATGAAATTTAAACAGAAACCCAGAGAAGAGCAACTGGAAGCAGATGGCACAGAAAGTAAGAATTACGTTGAAAACAGGTTTACAATTCTGTTCAAATCCTTGACTCCAAGGCCATCTCCTTTTCTTTATAGTTGAACTTACTTCTTGGTTTTTGGAATATACCGAAAATAATACCATCTCCTTTGATTGCTGGTCTTAAAAGATATTCTCTCAACCATCATACTATGTAGTATCCTCATACCACAGAGAAAAATGCATTCCTCAATTAATACTTGATGATGTGAGTGAATTTTCCACATTTTTGTGAAATAGGATTGACTGTGTGGTTTTAACACAGAAAGTTTTCAGAAAAACAGAAGGGAGTATATTACCATAAAATGTATTAAGTGATATAATGAAGACCAAACACTCTTGGAATTCTGAAAGCCAAAGTAAATAACTTCAAAGTGGTGAAACCACAAGGCTTCATTTTCTGTTGGTTTTTATACTTAAAAATTGGTAGAATGCTTGCCTACCATGCCCTTTCACAAGGCCCTGGGTTCGATCTCCAGTAATGTCAAAAAAAAAAAAATACAATTGTGAAAAGGAAAAAGTGTATTTATTACAATCATTATATTTAATATTAAAATTCTTTTCAATTGAAACAAAAAGAGAAAATCCATTTATTAAACAATTAATTTTCTAATTTTATATTTTTTAACTTCGGTAAATACACATAGCATAAATCTATCGTTTTAGCCATTTTTATTTATTTTTTCCTTTATTGTTGTGATGGTTGGTGGTACATTGTGGCATTCACACAGATTCATACAATGTATCAAATATATCATACTTGAATTCATCTCCTCAGTCATATTCCTTTATTCCCTTGTCCCCCCGATTCCTGAAATAGTTTCAATAGGTATCATTTTTGCATTTACTTACATGTGTACACATTTTATTGCACTATCTTTGCCCTTGTAAAAATAGTACAGTGGAAGTAAGTATATTCATAAAGTTGTATAACTGTAACAACTGTTCATCTCCAAGCATTTTTTTCATCATTTCAAATAAAAACTCTGTATGTACTAAACAAAAACTCTACTTCTTTCCCTTAGGCAATGGAAACTACTGTTCTACTTCTGACTTTATGAATTTGACAACTCTGGTTACTTCATGCACATGGAATCATATAATATTTGTCTTATTTGTTTTTTTCACTTAGCAAAATATCTTTAAGGTTTGTCCATATTGTAGCATGTACCAGAATTTCATTCCTTTCTAAGCTGAATAATATTCCATTATATTGTAAATTATTTTTATATTATTTTTTATCCAATCATCAGTTCACGGACACTTGAACTGCTTCCAATTTTTGACTACTGTGAATAATGCTGCTATGAATGTTTGTATACTAGTATCTGTTTCAGTCCCTGATTTCAATTCTTTTGTGTATCTATCCAGAAGTAGAATTGCTAGGTTAAGTGCTAATTTTGTATTTTACTTCTGAGGTGCCACTGTACTGTGTTGTACAGTGGCTGCACCATTTTATATCACTACCACCAGTACACAAGGGTTCCAATTCAGATCAGTGCCAATACTTGGTTTTTAAAATTTTCTCATAATATCCATCTTAATCGGAATAAACGAGTATCTCATTATGATTTTGATTTCCATTTCCCTTCTGATTAGTGATGTTGAGCATCTTATTTTGTGTTAATAATTAACAATTTGTATATTCTCTTCTGAGAAATGTCTATTCAAGTTCTCTACTTTTTTTTTTTTTGTGGTACTGGGGCTTGAACTCAGGGCCTACACCTTGAGCTACTCCATGAGCACTTTTTTGTGAAGGTTTTTTTGACATATGGTCTTGTGAACTATTTGCCCAGGCTGGCTTCGAATCGCCATCCTCCTGATCTCTGCCTTTCGAGTTGCTAGGAGAACAGGTGTGAACCACTGGCGCCTAGTTCTCATTTTTAATTGGGTTGTGTGTTCTTTTGCTGTTCAACAAATAATTTTTGAATCCAGATTCTATTCTTGGTTTTGGGGATACATCTGTGAACTAGACATCATCCCAGTCATGACTAGTGTGGGAGGTATACCATAAGCATATATGTATCAAATGAAAATGAAGTGAAAATAAAGCAGAATAAAAGCAAAAAAGAGTAATAGGAAATGGGATTTTTTTTTTTGTAGATACAGCAATTGGAAGGTCCCACTTGAACACAGACACAGATGAAGTGGGGGAAAGAGAAGAGGATTGATTAATCATTATATATATATATTAAAATAGTAATATATGCTTTTATGGCAACTTATTTCATTTTTTGCTGTTTATATGATTTGAAACAAAGCTTTGGTGTTTTTTTCATTTTGTTGGTTTTTAAATTTTTTTATTATTGTTGTACTTGGTGGGGGTACGTTGGAGTATTTGCAAAAGTTCTTACAATGTATCAAATATATCATACTTGAATTCACCCCCTCTGCTGCTCTCTTTCATCCCCCCTCCCATTCCTGGAACAGTATCAACAGGTATCAGTTTTGCATTTGCTTCCATGTGTACACATTGTTTGGACCACGTTCCCCCTTCTTCCCCTCCCTGCTTCTAGGCAGAACCTGTTCTGTCCTCTTGTTCTCCGATTTTGTAGAAGAAAAAATGAAAGATAATAAGAAAAACACAGTGTTGTGCTAGTTTGAGATGAAGATAGCTATATAGGGAGATTCCTTGTGTTGTGTTCATGCATATGTATTTTACAACCCAAATTGGTTCATTTCTACCAGACCTCTTCACTACTTCCTAGTTCTCTTCCCATAGTGGCCTTGGCCAGTTAAAGATTGCTTTATTTATTCCTGTACAGTGAGCACATCAACCACATTCAAGTTTTTGGTTTCTGTCCCTTGCCTTATCCCTCCTGTGTGCATTCTCTCCTTAGTGAATTTGTTTTAGGTCTAAAGTCTGCATATGAGGGAGAACTTGTGATTTATGGCCTTCTGAACCTGACTAACTTTGCTTAAGATTATGTTCTCCAGTTCCATCCATTTACCTGCAAATGGGGAAATTTCATTCTTCTTTGTGGCTGAATAAAATTCCATTGTGTATAAATACCACATTTGCTTGATCCATTCATCAGTTGTGGAGCATCTTGGCTATTGTGAATAGCGCTGCAATAAACTTGGGTGTGCAGGTGCCTTTGTAGTAATCTGAGTCACATTCCTTCGGGTATATCCCTAGGAGTGTCATTGCTAGACCATATGACATATCTATTTTTAGTTTTTTAAGGAGACTCCATATTGTTTTCCATAGTGGTCGTATTAGCTTACATTCCCACCAGCAGTGTATGAAGGTTCCTTTTTTCTCCCACATCCTCACCAACATTTGTTGTTGATGGTATTCTTAACAGGAGTGAGGTGGAATCTTAGTGTGGTTTTGATTTGCATTTCCTTTATGGCCAGGATGGTGAGCATTTTTTCATGTGTTTTTAGTCATTTGGACTTCTTTGTGAAAAAGTTCTATTTAGTTCAGTTGCCCACTTCTCTATTGGGTTGTTTTATTATTGTTTGTGACAGGATCTTTGCTGTGTTGCCTAAGCTGGTCTTGAACTGATGGGCTCAAATAATCCTCTCTCCTCAACTTCCTAAACTGGAACTACTGTCATGCGTCACCATGCCTGATGAAGGAATTTTGTTGCTGTTGTTTGTCTTTTGTTTAATTTGTTTTTTCTTAACTTTAAATTTTATTAGTATATCTTAATTTTATAAAATAATAGGCCTCATTATGACATTTTCCTATTTTTGAAGAAATGCATTTATTACAAAGATATACTAATAAATCAGATAAGTAAATGAAGTATATGATCTCATCCAATCTCCCTGATGGTTCCTTCTCAAGTTCTTTTGAGCATCCTCATTTCTATCCATGGTAGGACTGCAAGACTTAGTCCTTGAATCCTTTCAATTTTTACACTCATCTCTAAGGTGACCATCTCAAACTTAACATGTCTAAAGCCAAACTCTTTTTCTGATACTACCCCTGTCACCAGCCCTTCATTTCTTGGTGTTCCTATATCAACTGGATTGTCCTAGTCTCCCTGACTTAAATCTTAGAGTTGTCCCAAACTCTGTTATTGTTTCTATCTTTGAAATACATCCAGAACCTCATAACTTCTCTCCACAACCATGCTCATTGTCACCACCTGGTCCAACCCACCATTTCTGTCCAGATTATTACAACAGCCTCTGTCCTGATCTCCCTGCCTCTGCTGTGGTAGGTACTTTAGTACATAGAAGCCAGTGTCAATTCCTTCACAATGTACGTCAGTTCATGTCTCCCTCTGCTTTAAACAGTGTCACCTGCCTTGTTCTAAATACAACCCCAAGTCCTTACAATAGCCTACTTGTTCTCTATGATACTTGTCTAATGCCTTCATGAATCCCCTCTCCTGCCTTTTCTTCTTCTCTTGTTCCCTTCATCCAGCCCCCTTGGCCTCTTGACTCTTCTTGAAACATGTGAGCACTCGTGCTGTGGGACCTTTTCACCAACTTCTCTTCCTGCCTGGAACTCTTTTCCTAGCCATCCTCATGGTTTATCCCCTCATTTTATTAAGGTGACTTCTTGGATGTTATCTTATCAGAAAACCTTCCCATCACTATCTCCTTACCCTGAATATTTTTATTTGTGATTCATACCAATATTTTTTTCATCATCTGTCCTACATATTCATACCAGTCCCCACTGAACGTAGTCTCCAGAAAAGCAGGCACCTAATTTGGTGCGTACACTGCTACATTTCCAGGTTTTAAAATGTTCTTTACGTATAGTAATAGAAATAAATCCTATCTACTCAGGAGTAAGGAGTATAAATGCCATAAGACATATCTTTCATGTCTTTTCCTAGTTGAATATGCATAGGTAACTTTTAAAAATACTGCTCATGTTGTCTTGTACTGTATTTTTTTCATTAATTTTTTAGTGAACTTCTTTCCTTCAATATCCTTTTATATGACTGCAAAACATTCAATTGTGTGAATATGCCAAAATTCAAGTATCTTTTTGACTATTTAGTTTATTTCCATATT